ATACATAGAATACTTAGTGAAAGACTCTAGTCATCAGCAATCAGTTCAGAAGCATACATGTTTAATCATACATGTATGAGTGTATAATAATAATCAAGGTCACGGGTTCGATTCCCGTTTGGTCCCCATGTGTTGCCTGATCTAGTCAAGAGGTGGCGACCCTGGCAACAGGGAGGCTGGATTAAAATGATCTCTAAGGTCCCTTCCAGCCTAGGTCATTCTGTGATTCTATGAATCAGGCACCTTCCCTTCAGCTCAAAACAATTTCAAAGCAAATGGGTAAAATCTTGATCCCACCAATGTAAACAAATAAAATTCCCACCAATTTCACTGGGGCCAGGATTTCTCCACTTACATCAATTTTTCTTCTGGGAACAAGGTACCAGCCATGCTGATGCAGTCCAGTTGCCCACTGAACACAAGCACAGTAAGGTACTCCCCTTTCACTGAAATTAGCAGGTACTTATTGTTGCTCTAAAGAGAACAGGGTGCAAACATCTCGCTGAACTCATTGTACAGTCGAGAATTTCTGGAGGTCTGTTTGTGCTGAGGTGAAACTGAGACAAAGACACAAGCACGTAATAACAAACACAGAAACTGAATATTCAAAGAACTGGCAGGCAAAATTTCAGTCCCATTAGGAAAAAAACATTGCCCTTCTCTCCACAAGGAGGCAGCAAATGTTTATTAATATGAACTGCCTCACAAGAGCATTGCTCTGTAACTTTTTCCAACTTCTTTATCCAGATCCTGGAACGTTTCTGTTCTGCCCCAAAACACTGCTATAAAACTGCTCAGTCTTCTATTAGTGCTGCAAAAGCTGGGTTTGAATCTCTGCCCTTTGTTTTTAAATACAATACTACTGTAGTTTACTATTGTAACGAATAGCCTGCACTGGGCGTATGCATGTAGTTCCATCTACTCAAAATACTTCTGAGAAAGGGGTAACTTCTCGGAATTATTTCAGAAACGAAAACAAGTCACAGCGAAGTGAGCAACATAAATTGATATAAAATCACTGCAAAATCCTAAATATACTCACATCTTAAAAGTGTTCAGCCACAAAACTATTATTCCCTTTTGAAAGCATCTACTTTTAACATATTAAAAAAACCCCGAGACCTGGAAAAGGGCCAAGCTTGGCTCCTCAGAACACAACTGTAAGCTTGCTGACCTCAGTAATAACTCAACTGCGTATTTTCCATGAGAGTTATTGAGAACTAAGTTTAACCAGAAATCTTCAAATAGTTAAAAAGAGTCGTAATACCACGCTTATATTTTTTCTGTCTCGCCATTTTTAATGGTCTGCTTATGGTTTCATAGACCTGGTTGCATAATCAGGAGGGGAAAAGCTTTTGCTGTTACAAATCCTGACTTCTCCTACCCTGCTCCAGGTGGCAGCCTCAGGAGAGGGAGCTACCATCAGCGGTTACCTCAGCAGATGTAAGAGAGGCAAAAGACACTGGAAGAAACGCTGGTTTGTTATCAAAGGCAAAGTCCTCTACACCTACATAGCAAACGAGGTACTGTGCAATCTGACTTCAAATACTTTCCTGTCTGAGCTCCCACCTTTACTCCCTGCAGGCAGCACAGGTGAATGCGAAAGGTAGAGATGGCAGTTGTCTGCTGGGACCCTGCCCGCAATGTCCCCAGGC